TCTCCTGTTAAATTACTACAATCATTTTTAAATTTTGCTTTGGAGTTTTTTTTTCACCCCTCGTTTTTTTCATTTTCATTTTGCTTAACGGACTTCTAATCTCAAAAACTATGCATTGCACTTTGTGCAGATTTTGCCTACATCGTCTAAAATTTGCATGTAAATTTATTTTTACTTGCTTTGATGGGACCCCGACGGGTCTTTAATAAAAATAATTGAATTGAATTGAATTGAATTGAACTTCTGGACAACACTGAAAGCACTGTATTGGCGTTACATGTGCCAGAAAACATACGAGTAAAACTCTCAAGCACTATGCATCGGCTTTCATCATGCGTGTGTGGGTAGATGTGCAAACAATGACTCGCTGCCCAGAACTGATTTGATCATTCATATTTTACTAATCATCGGTCGATAACGCGCACGCATACACTTTTGGGCCCCCTATGCACCGAGAGATATATTTAATCGGCTTCAGTGAGTATTTACATAGCAGAGGACTTTATCTTCACGCCAGTATTTATTTTCTGTGGAGAGTAGAAACGATAACACGGAAACTAGAGTGTTTATATGTCGGAAATCTCACTGGACAGTCTGACAGACCAACAGAAGAATCAGACTTTGCCCCTGTGCCATGTATCGACACAAAATAAGCAAAGACGTCTGAGCATTTTGCTCGCGACTGTTTTGAAATAAGTATAAACAAATTTCCATTTATATTTACATAACACAAATTTCCCCTTTACAATTTGTCAAAACGGCGTGGTTACTCCAATGCGGCTAGGGGAGTCCGTCGCAGACATTCACACGACCTCTCAGACGACCCTGCGAACGCTCGTCCGGAAGATTTTGGCCAAAGCATACAAAGCGATTGCCAAGAAAAATAAAAAAAATTAGTATAAAATACTGGGATACCCAGACCAAAGAAACCTTAAGGGAATACTGGGGGCCCGTTCATGCGTCCGGGCCTTCACTACTGCGCTGCGTAACGACGTGATCTCGGCGAAACACATGTCAAGTTGTAATCTGGAGCCATGGTCAATTAATCATAATCAGTGTTTGCTTACCATCGACTCCCATGCAGCTGGTGAATATTGCGCGTTTACTCCACAAGAACTGGTGGATGTCGTCACAAATATTTATAACAGCTTTCGGAGAGGTCGAAAAGTTATTGTCAGGTTGACTTTCTTTAACGCTCACGAAGTAACTTTTAGGAAAAATAAAAGCTGCACACAAACGAATGGGGTACTTATATACCCGAAACCATATTTAAACCTTTAGACGTCCACGCATGGGCCGAAGCCCTCGCATTCATTTTGCCCACCGACGCAAAATCAAGCGTTGGCTTGGGTCTTAGGCCAGTAAAGCTCCAAAAACTATGATAAGTCAAACACGCTGTACATTCAGCTAAAGCTGATTATCTGTTAGAGCTGCCTAATCCTAAACCGTTATTCCACTAAAATTGAGGTATTTCGACGCAAACATGAAGTTACTATGAATTCATAGTAGTCTAAAGACGAACATAAAAATAAGTATTTTGGACTTCATTCGACGTTCAGCAGTTACCTTCCAAGGAAATTAAAAAGCTAAACACCGAAGAAACAGAGTTTTTCGTCGGAAGAAGCCTAGGGGACTATTAAGGACCCATTGTCTCTAGGGTAACGCCCGTCGCAATAACCCCTAAATGTGTTTGGGTTAACGTTTAATGCATCTGCACCGAGAATAAAAAGTCTAACTTAACATTTAATTTTATGCTGCGGACTACCAATTGGCTGTTTGTGAACTCCCGACGTAGGGGCACGGCTAAACGGTGGCGGACGAGGTCACGGCCTACTTTGAGGGGCAGTTCGACCTTTACTTATAAAGCACTCCGTTAGCGGATTTGGAAAATTGTACAGTAATTGCAGCATACCGACGTTCCTCGTGTGGATCACGATGTAGGACCAATCATGTAAACTACTGCTCGTAATTTTTGGAGGACGGAGTGGACAGGATCGCCTGTTGAATAATTCACCTTATGGGAGGGGATGGAAGGGGCCCGATGGTTGGACTTTCAGCAGGTGACCCTGTTTAGCCCTGTCCTCCGAAGATAATTACGAGAAGTACTTTACTTGCACGCAATCTTCGTGGTCACTCGATGAAGTTACGGACGACAATGTCCAGGCTGAATCTTCGTTCTGAATTTTTCATGCAGAGGGTAGTGGATAAATGGAACGATCTCCCCCAGGCAGTCGTGGAGGCGACACCTCTGCAACTCTTCCAGAAACGCTTGGATGATTATTTGTGTCCCTGTTTTCCCTCGACAGTCTGAATCTGAACTAATACCCCACGACCCCGCAAATTGTTTCTCTGAGGCAATGCTACTCAAATGAATAAAGTACCGTTTTAATAGCGAAGATTTTCATTGTTCTTGTACAATTATTTCTAACGAGCTGACATGTAACCAATAGGGTTTTCAAAGGCTTTGCCTATTATCCTTACCAAAAACTGAAATAAACGGAAAAAAGGATCGTTTCTACAGCGTGGCCTACTTAGGGAACGTAGGTATACTACGTTTATACGGAAACTTATTACTCCGTTTATTTATTGTGCTATTAGTAAAGGACACCACCGACTGAGGGAGACGCAGGACGCCTGGATGACCGGCACGGTCGATTAAATCCAGAGGTATACGGACCGCAATGAACTCATGAACTTCTTCTCAACACTCAAGGCAATGTACGCCTCCCCTCGCCCCCAACGAAAGGAACCGCGCACTTTTCGGCTCCGATGAATCAACGCTTTTGTCAGAGAAATCACAGACTCTGAAGCGCTGGACCAAGCAATGTACGAACGTCCTCAATTGCTTCTTTGGAATCTCCGATGCCACAATCGACCGACTACTCCAAATAGAAACGAATGACGACCTGGATCTGCCGCCCTTTCTCCCAGAAACAATCAGCGTCATGTATCAACTGTCCAGTGAGAAAGCACCGTGAGCTGACGAGATTCTGGCCAAAATCTACAGACACGGTGGTCCCCAGTTCATAATTCAACTTATAAAGCCATTCCAACAGACGTGGCGCTGTGGACAAGTTCCTCAGGATTTTAATGATGCGGTAATCGTTTATCTCTAGAAACGGAAAGGGAACCGACAACTCTATGATAACCACAGAGCTACCTCGCTACACAATATCGCCGGAAAGCTCTTCGGTAGCATCTTCCTCAACCGTCTCACTGGGCATCTCGAGCAAGCACTTCCCTCGAAAAGTCAGTGCGGAACCACCGACATGATCTTCGCTGCCCGCCAACTGCAGAAGAAATGCCAGGAAATTTATACAAACTCCTACGCTACCTTATCGGTCTTGACAAAGCCCTTAGACGCGATGATTCACGAAGGACTGCAATAATCATGCCGAAAATCGGCTGTCTTGAGCGTTTTACGGACATGGTACGTCAGATCCACGACGGGATAATGGCGTGCGCCACGGACAATGGAACCACCTCTAAATCATTAGTAGTAACTCATGGATTGAAGTACGACTGCAACCCGCCCCCACCCTCTTCGACCCCATGTTTTCTGCAATGCTAATGGACGCCTGTTATGATGAGCGTCCCAGAATCAACAATGCCTGCGGCCATGCGGGCTCTAATGTGTCTCTCTACGACTACAGTCCACAACCTGCTGTTTGCGGATGGCAAAACACTCAACACCGTGTCGTAAGCTGACCTGCAACGGAACATAGACCTCTTCGTCGCCAAGTGCGCCAAAATCGGGCTGACCATCTTCACGGGCGGAGCGGTAATCATGCACCAACGCTATCGCACGCGCATACAATGCTCCTCGCATCCACGTCAACAGCATTGAACTGAATACTGTGGACAATGTAGCCTATTTAAGCAGCACACTTTCATATTGCATCAACATCGACGACGAAGTGACTCAGCGGGTTTCGAAAGTAAGCCCAATCTTCGGCCGGCTGTAGAACTCCGACCTCAATCTGAACAACATGCTGAAGGTGTACAAGGCTGTCATCTTGGCGACGCTTCTGTGTGGAGCGGAGACCTGGACCGTCTACTCCACGCATGGCAGGAAGCACAACCACTTCCATCTCAGCTGCCTTCGCAGAATACTAAAGCTGAGAGGGCAAGACATGATCCCGACACGAAATTTCTGGAACGGACTAGAATCCCCGACATTCAGACCATGTTCAGGCAACTTCATCTGCGGCGGAGCGGTCACCTAGTGAAGATGGACGATGGACATAAACGACTCTTCTACGGAGATATCGCTACGGCTGCTCATCAGGGGGGAGGACAAAAACGACGCTACAGAAACACTCTGAAGAACTCTCTGAAGCGACCGCAGATAAACCCGGTGACCTGGGAGGTCCTCCCCCAGAACAGACCGGACTGAAGCGAGGCAGTGAGGATTGGCGCCACAATCTACGAAGAAAACCGGATCGACGTTGTTAGAGCTAAGGGAGAATTTCGCAAGTTTCAGACGCCCTTAATCCGCATCATCTTCACCCAACCCCACCCAACAAGCCCGTGCTCTCAACAAACTCTCCATGCGCGGATCGGCCTCGTCGTACTTAATGTACCAACTGATGCCTCCGTAGCTGCGCCTGCTCCAAAATCTGCGCAGACCACGACGGCGCTCACCTTCACCACCCCTGTTTCGAATTCCAGTGCCCCACCGCAGTCGATCGCTGTCACACCCATAATCTCTGCCACAATCGCCGCAGTGACGACGAGCATAACTCCGTTTACCAACACCACCACCGACCGAAAATCTCCTGACGTCCTGTCAGCCATCAACATATTTACCATCACGACCCAATCCTCTAGCGATGTGAACTTGGTCCCAACCTGTTCTAATTGCGACCACACACCCACCTTACTTATCGGCCTGGTCGGTCATTTGCGAATCCATCGCAGAGACTGCCTAACCAGTGCCTGGAGCACCAACATACACTCGCCGCACCCGCCCTCACTGTCCACGCACATTCATTCACCGCATGGCCCTATTCGATCATATGCGTAACCGTGGCAGAGGAATCCACCGCAGTATCGACACAACTAGCACATCTCACAAATCCACCAACGTTTCCATGGCCAGCCCGATCAACTCCCCATCACTCGGTGCGTCCAACACTAGCGGCACCACCGCCGAAACCGACTCTACAGCTCCTGGCCCATACTGCCCACACGGTCACCGGACATTCACCTTCCACATCGACATGGTCGGTCCTTGCGAATCCATCGCACGGAGACCGGCGAACCAGTGCTTGGAGTGCCAACATACACCAGACGCCACCGCCTCATCTGCCGGCATCGCCTTCGTACACTCTGTCACCACTTAAGCCTACTCGGTCAGATGCGCATTCACAAAGACGTGCGGTAGAACACCGCCGACTATACCATACCACCACATCTTTTCTCACCAGCATCTACAACGCACGCCAACATCACGCATCACCATACAACGCAAGCACGTTATTGGCACCTCTCACGTAAGTAGGAAGTGTGCGTCTCGGCTCCTTCTCCACGTGGCTACTCTGCAGCATGTGTGACCCGAGCCTGAGACTATCACGGTGAGCTAAGCGTCGTGGTTTGGAAGGTTGCAAGCTGACGCTTCAACCCACTCCACGCAGGCAGCCCTGCCGTGTGTGTGTTTGTGTGGAGTGGCCGACTAGTGGACTGAGGGACAGGCTGCAACGGCTCTTTGTCAACTTGACCTCTGGCACTCCCACGTATGTGAGTTACATGCCGCCCATCCCCTTTTGGTGCGTGTCTGGGGGGCAAAGTCGTGTATGTGATACACGTAGACGAGGTCACTACATGTCAGCCACTGCGTCCGTTCCCCGCGCCAGAACACTGATCGGTTAGGACAATGGCTGGGGCCTGGAAGTGGAAATAGAGAGTAAGGACGACTGTACGCATTTCCTTCGCTATAAACAGTCTGACGCGCTTGAAGATATCACGGTGCGCTAAAAGCCGTGGTTTGGAAGGTTGCTAACCGAC